ATGCTGCTGGAAAAAAGGAATCCTTCTTTATTGTTGTGGGTAAAACCACTATGGAAATCAGTATGGAGATTCCTCAAAAATCTAAAACTAGAGGTTCCATTTGACCCAGGTGTTCTCCTTCTAGGTTTCTTCCTGAGTTAAAAGTTAAAAGTATCATACCATAGTAATATATGTACATCCATGTTTCCAGTAGTACAGTGCATAATGCTTAAATCTTGGAACTAGCCTAGATGAATGGATCCATGCGTCCATCCATGCATCCATACATACATGCATAAATGGGTTTTCTATTCAATGTAGTAGTACTCTGCCATAAAGAATGCTAAATTTGAGTCATTTTTAGGTAACTGGACATACCTCAAGAGCATAATTTTAAGTGAAATATATAAAAAACTGATTTAAATATTGTACAAGGTTAAATATTGCATTGCTTCTCTTGTGTAAGAAAGGGGTGACAAAGGAGTAAAATGGAGGCTAGATAATGGGAAGTAGGAACAATATGTTCAAAATGGGAAGAGGAAGAAAAGGAAAAAGGATTAAAATAAAATTAAGAGAACGGAATGAAGAAAACTCGAAATAAATCTTCTATAAATGGGAGGAGAAGAAGACTGATGGGTGGGGAGGGGAATGGGAAAAGAATTAAGATATAGATGTATAGGTACAAATTCCCTATGACTAATGTGATCATTATGAATACCAAATATGCCAGGGAGATAGCTCAGTGGCATAAGTGCATGCCTGGTGAGCACAAGGTCCTGAGTTAAATCCCTGATACAATAAAAATACCAAATATGTACTAAGAAAAATAAAAATAGACACAGGGTGTGTTTTAAGTAATAGAGAATTAAAATGTAACAGAAGGAAAGAATATCCAAGAAAGTAAGATGCATTGTGTGGAAGCATAGCATAGGATCCAGAGTAGTATATGATTCGGGACAATTCAAGAAGGCCTAGCATAAAAAATGGCAATAAATAAATAAATTAATAACCTAGCAAAGGAAGACCCAGTCCTAGCCCAGGTCCGGTGAGTGTGCGGAGAGTTTCCTGCTACCCTGCGCCGGCGGGACCAGTCCCAGCCCAGGCGCAGCGTGGGCCGGACCCTCTCCCAGCCCCTCGGGCCGCCCCCCACCACTCTGCAGTGCCTCCCCCACCCCGCCCGCCAAGTAGGATTTTCTGCCG